TATACACTGAGAGATTATCATTTTACTTACCTTTGTTATCACAGAAATTATATTCGCTTGCAAAACTGTCGAGAAAGACTCTTTCATTTAGATAACAAACATTTTGGTCGTTTGTGTGTTCCGGGATTTACCACCTGCGCTGCAAACTGGCTGCGACGTCACACAGGTGGTGTCACATGACACTGACTCTCTCTCGCGGCTGTGGCTAGAAATGATACAGCTACGGCCGAAAAATAACAATAAATTGCATTTGCTACCTATTAGATTGTGTTTAATTAAAGCTGCAGTCCGTAACTTCTAATTTAGCTGTTAATAAACCGAACTGCATGCGTTTTGCGGACGAACATTGTAGCCGGAGCTACTTCTCTCTGTTTATGTCTATGACGAATCACGCAGGTACTGGGCTACTCCGCAGCGGTACCTACCCGAACCAGTCTAAAATAGTCTGAATATAAACACTTGTTATAGGTGTATCATAGTGATTCAGGATAAGCCAAAAACACAGTTTGGAAAATGGATTCATGGTGTGTATGTGAGATTAGAATAAGTGTGTCCCAAAGCATAGTATGTTGAAAAGAGTATGCCAAAAGTCCCCGGATGGTCTGGTCAATTCTTGAAGTGTGGATCCGTGCACACTTTAATGGCTAATATTGCCCACAATCCATTGGTCTTTGGTGAAGGATTCGGTCCAGAACTACAAACACGAATAAACGCGTTAAAAAACTACAAACATGGCGGATGTGCGCGACTGGCGGTTAGGTAGAGTTTGAGTTACTAATATTCAACATTTAACCTGGTAAAAAATATTTATTTAATGTTATCTGTGTTATATTTCATCTGCAACAGCAATGTAAACTTTTATAAACATCCGTTTGGTGGTTAACTTTTAAATGCATCATTATGCATAAAATATGAGCAGAGTTCTCGGCATGAAAGACCCGCGACTGGCAGATCACTGTGCTACTTCTTTTCTCTCCAAAATACGGTAGGAAGTTAAAGGAAATGCGATGTGGAGGATGTTAACTGTGACAAGATGATTGACAGGCCAGGGGCAAGTTCAAGCTCAAACCAGTGTGCACCATTTTGCTACGGTTTCCGGGTTGAACGACATGTTTCCTGGAAACGGTGTGCAACGGGGTTTGAGATACGTTTTCTCTTGTTTGGTGTGTGTGTCAAAAATGTCAGCCCAATCAGCAGCAACATGTATATAAACCACGCGGTATTAAAGAGACAGCTGGCACAATGTAATTAACAACCAAATAAATTCACAAGAGCAAGTATATTGTTTGCACATGTTTATTTACATTAAAGGCAAAATAACTGAAATAATAAGGGCACAAGTATAGATCTGGAACTTCTTTAAGTCTGTCTAAATATCATTTAGTAATTGCAATGTCTTCTGGTCCATATCCTTTCCTTAGGAAGGTGTGCTAGACACTTAATGTAACATAAAAAATACTATACATATTTATGTATTTTGCTGTTGTATTGTGGAGTGACACTTTCATAAACTTTTCTATACTCCTCTGATTATATAATGGTAAATATTACAATATCATAGCACAACAACAGTGATCAGCAATAATGAAAAGCCTAATACTCACAATAAAAATAATAAGGTCATATAGATCATAACACAGTCTCGGAGGTAAGAAGTGGATTATCCTTCACCTGAAATGTTTGTACAGTATTAAACACGTATTTTTACCGATTTCATCAGGCTCCGAAAATTCTTCAAAAAGAATATAAAGAATGGCCTTCTCAGCTGCCATAGTTGCAACTCTTGCGTCATCAGAACAGTGTGTTCAATGCACCACCGTTTCCGTTTAAAAAACGTTTTGCACTGTTTTGTCGGGGCTGAACGCAGCCCAGGGCGCCCACGAACGCCCACTAGCAACGTCATCGCCAGCCCCTGACAAAAGTCGCTGCTAGTGTGAACGGGGCTTTACAAGTAAGTAGGAGAGCATAGCCTAACACACACTGGATCCGGCGCGACATGAGGCGTCACATGTGTTTGAAAAAGGACTTAATCGTCCTCTGCTTTTTTCTGGGGTGCATTTTTACCCCCAAACCGCCAAAAGAGCAAAGGCAAGGCAAGGCAAGTTTATTTATATAGCACATTTCATACACAATGGTAATTCAAAGTGCTTTACATAAAAGAAAAGAAAAGAATAATTAAAAAAAAGAATCACACCAAGATTCCTGACTTGATTTTTAGTTGTTAGACCCCTAGAGTCAAGGTATGCATTCACCTTGAGAACTTCATCTTTGTTTCCAAATGCAATGACTTCAGTTTTTTCCTTGTTTAACTGAAGCAAACGCAGCACTGAGATCTAGTAGTACCAGCACTGGACCTGAACCGGAATCAGAATTTAAGCGAATATCATTTATTATCTTAATGAGCGCTGTCTCTGTGCTGTGATGCGGTCAGAAACCAGATTGAAAATTGTCCAGGTATCCATTTGAGTTTAAGTATATTTGTTCAGCTGATTAAAGACTATATTTTCAATAATCTTGCCTATAAAAGGAAGATTTGATATTGGTCGATAGTTGCTCAATATGGTGTTATCAAGATTGCTCTTTTTCAGAAGGGGTTTAACAACTGCAGTTTTCAGGGAGTTTGGAAAAGTCCCAGAAAGAAGTGAGGCGTTCACCACTTCTAAGAGATCTGCTTCTAAACGGTTAAGCACACTTTTCAATTCAATTCAGTTCAAGTTTATTTGTATAGCGCTTTTCACGATACAAATCGTTGCAAAGCAACTTTACAGCAAATTAGGTTTCTATTGATAGCATTTCTGTGAACTCTTCAACAAAGGCTGGAGAGTATTTTGAAAGCTTGTAAATAATGATAAACAGAATGTGTGGAGCACCTTTCAACACAATCCCTAGATATTCAAAAGACAAGTACTGACCAAATGACACTTGCTTGCATTCATCTTTAAATAGAGCAGCTACACCTCCACCTCTTATAACAGTCCTGCAGACACTCATGAAAGTAAAGTTAGGAGGGGCTGTTTCATTACAAAGTGAAATCGCGAGAGCAACAGATTTGAAGCTCATGACAGACGCGCCCAAGAGATGATTCGCCTTGTGATTGGCTGAATGTTAGTTCACTCAAATCTAAATAAACAAATCAGAGATCAAGGGCGGAAATATCGGCCGCGGGTCAAACCAAGTGCGGGGGACAGAATAACCTTTTTCTAAAAGTGCGGGGGACATGTCCCCCCCGTCTGCTACGCCCTTGGAGTGTGTCCATGAAAGCAGCGTAGCCTACTTCATATTTTACTTTAGCTACACACTTGAGCCCGACCCGCACCCGACCTGAACCCGCCCCGAAACCCGAGAGTATTTCGGGACCCGTCGGGCTAGTTCTGGTAGCAGACCTCTAAATAGCTACAGAAACAGTCCTTTTAAAGGGCACACAATCCCATGAAATTGTATCAAAGAACTTTTTGTAGTATCCAGACTGACATTCACAAACTGTGTTATTTTGGGGTGTACATGGTGAAATCACCACCGCATCTGCCAGAGAAGTCAAAGAAAAAAAGAGTGAACATCTAAACAAAATCAACACAGCAAGATATATAGCCTATATGCTACCTAAATTACATTTTAAGTTCATTACTGTAGTTGTCAAAGGAAAATTAAACTGTATTATGCTTACTCCGCTTGGTGCATTTCTCGCATCTGAAGCAGTTTGGGAAATAGTTCATCTTGTCTAGGTATGTCCCTTTCGAACATTTCTCACATTGCGATGCCATGACACTAGAGCATTTCCTTATCAATTTATACCCTGAAGAATAATACATGACAGATGAAGAGATTAAACAGTCTATTCCTATGAAAACTGTTGTTCCGATGCTATTGATTCAACATTTCAGACATTGTACCTGGAGCACATTTGTCACAGCAGAGCCCGTCGCTCCAGTATTCCTCTGTAGAACAATCCCTTTTGCTGCTGACGCTGCGCTGCCCCGTCACAATGCCTACGACCTGTGGTAAAAGTTTAACAGTTCAGGCAGTCTGGCTTGGTATTGCTTAACTGGATGATGTAATCACTGGGCTAACCCTTGAAACTGGTTTAACCTCAAAACAAAAGCAAAATATCTGTTCTGTGATTAATAACAGAATCATTATTCACATATTTGTGAAATTTGAAAACTGCTCACTTTCCAATGACTCACCAATGATAACAAAACACATGGCAGGAGTTTCCTCATATGTTGCCCTTGGGTGTGAAACATGGTTCTTATAATGTGTGCAATCAACCCTTCTGGAAAAAAAGAAGAATATTTAATAGTATATATTTCAGTAGATAACTGAAATTCTGAAAGAATAAAGACCAGTCAAGTATATATTTTCATTGAATTGTGATATACAAAACATACAAGATACATATTCAGTACATAGTACAAATGTTTAAAATCTGTAATTAATTTTTGTATCCATTTAAATGTTACATTTTGTGTGAGATATAGTTGTATATAACTGTGTCTCAATATAATATTAATATATTTGTAGAACTATAGAACTGATATAAAGAAGAGCACATGACTTTACCTCTGTCCACCAGGATCTAATGTAGAGTCGCTCCTAAATGACTGAAAAAATGAATGGAATGGAAGTCCTTTCAGGTTTTTATATAAGACGACCGTATTAGTCATCTTTTTACTATGACCACGCAACTAAGCAGTGCACAATAAATTTCGCAATAACAAAACAGTAAACCGGTCCAGATTTAATCATCACTACCTAGAAACTGAATGGGGAAAAACCTTTCCTCCGAAAAGAGGAAGTCCGTTTCTCAGCTCTAGTAATTTAAACATTCAATGAATCACGTCTAGTTTTGATTTGACTTAAATTGCGTATGTTTAAAATCTGTAATTAATTTTTGTATCCATTTAAATTACATTTTGTGTGAGATATAGTTCTATATAACTGTGTCTCAATATAATATTAATATATTTGTAGAACTATAGAACTGATATAAAGAGCACATGACTTTACCTCTGTCCACCAGGATCTAATGTAGAGTCGCTCCTAAATGACTGAAAAAATGAATGGAATGGAAGTCCTTTCAGGTTTTTATATAAGACGACCGTATTAGTCATCTTTTTACTATGACCACGCAACTAAGCAGTGCACAATAAATTTCGCAATAACAAAACAGTAAACCGGTCCAGATTTAATCATCACTACCTAGAAACTGAATGGGGAAAAACCTTTCCTCCGAAAAGAGGAAGTCCGTTTCTCAGCTCTAGTAATTTAAACATTCAATGAATCACGTCTAGTTTTGATTTGACTTAAATTGCGTATAAAGGAGTCATGAGCCATCAAAAACATTTCATTGTAAACCTTGTGAGATTCATTACTGTACAACACTGTTGCATAATAAAGAATATTACATTTAAACTTCTGTTCCACTAACATCTCTAACATGATATATGGCTGATGAATTATCAACTAATTAAATAGGGCCTACCAGATATTAAATTAATAAAGAGATGTATATAAATTCTAAAATTGTTATTTATTTTGACCCCAATGATGGTTTTGCATTGTAACTGGCCTCAGACATTTCTGCTGAGATTCCCAAAAATGCCATACATTTTCAATTCATATTTTTTTTTTTACACGTTTTGGCCAAAGGGAATGTACTGAATAAGCCATAAACCAAATGTGACTTATTCCAGTAAAATGACGTTTGAAGGAAGTTAATCTCTCCAGCAATACCACACAAGTTCCTGCTCAGAAATGATGAATTTTTGTCAATAAATTTTGTCAACAGTAAATACTCAAACAAAAATTTTTGTTTTAAACTAAAGCCAGATATTGAGGCATTGTGGATCATTGGTCTCATCATATTCATGAAAATTTAAAAATTCATCTTCATTGACAAGAATCACATGTACCTGCATCTTTTCATTCATTTGTGGATGGACCTCAAAGACACTGTATCCTTTATTTTACTGTTCAATCAATATAGTAACAGCTTATTAACTGACATTAATATTTTCTCTCTCTCCATTATCAACATCAAATAGGGTTTGCCATAGTAGCTTGCACACTAGGGGACTAAAGATAAAAATATTATGGCATGAATTTCAATCAACTTCCTGTTTAAAGATATCTAATGTGCTATGTGGGCTATAAAGCATTAAGGTATTATAAACAATAACAGTATGAATTTCTGTAAAGCGAAACAATGTGCATTGTGAAAGGTGCTATACAAATAAAATGGACATCACAATAAAACGTCAAGATTGAGTGTGGTACAGCATGAACAAAATGTTTATGAATTAAAATATAATTGTAGTGATTTTGCTTTTGCCAACCTGGGGAGGTCCACTAGTGTGGTCAGAGAGGGGCACCAGCATAAACCGGGCCCTGGAATGTGCTGTTCACTACATAATTTTAGTATTTACTAATTTTCCATTTTTTAATTCAATAGGGTTGAATTTTTTAAAACTATATATTTACTGATTTTCCACAAATTACAAATCACAAATAGACAAAACCATCAACAACATTCATTAATTTGGAGCTTAAGAATAGAAAGAACAAGAACAAGCAATAAATAAATAAATAACATCGTACAGAGGTTCTCATCAATTAAATCCAAACAGTATAATATGGCGATCCCAGGGTCCAAATAAACAGGGTTGAGTTTTTAAAAGGGCAAAAAAAAAACAAAAAAAAACTCAGAACCTCTTTTAAGTTCCACAGAAAAAGGAAAGTCATGCAGTTTTGGAATGACATGAGTGAGTAAATGATGACAAAAACTGTTCTGTTGACTGTTCTTCAGAAAAATCCTCTTTAAAAATCCGCAGAAAAACCTGCAGATTCTTCAGTTTTCCAGCATCTTTTGCATATTTGAACCCTTTCCAGTAGTGACTGTACGATTTTGAGATCCATCTTTTCACACTGAGAACAATTGAGGGACTCAAACACAACTATTAAAAAGGTTCAAACATTCATTGATGCTCCAGAAGGCAACATGATGCATTAAGAGAGAAAACTTTTTGAAATTGAAGATCAAGGTAAATTGTACTTAATTTGTTGAGAGAGAGAGAGAGAGAGAGAGAGAGAGAGAGAGAGAGACTGTCTAGACCAGGGGTGCCCAAACTCGGTCCTGCAGAATTTAGCTCCATCCCCAATTAGACACACCTGAACCAGCTAATCAAGCTTCTTACTAGTCATACTAGAAACTTCCAGGCAGGTGTGTTGAAGCAAGTTGGAGCTAAACTCTGCAGGACACTGGCCCTCCAGGACCAAGTTTGGGCACCCCTGAACTAGACTGTCACGGTTATGTTCTGTTAACATAGACTTTGAGTTGTTTTCATTTCCTGTTCTCCTGTGTAGTTTTGTTCCTTGACCTAGTTTTCCTTAGTTCCCTTGATTAGTTTATTCTGTTCACCTGTGTCATGTTAATTAAGGCTGCGTTTACACTGCAAGTCTTAATGCACAGATCCGCTCTTTTGACCATATCCGATTTTTTTGGCACGTCTGTTTACATTCACTTTAGACACGACTGGTATCCGATATCTGTGTTTACATTAATTCCCACCCAAAAGGATTGTCTGCAGTGATCGCTTTACTATGCACATGGTAGACCCTCCGGTTTTAAATGGCCATGCTATTAAAATTATTTATATAATTCATGTCAAATGGCCATTATTATTTGCCAGCATGGACAACGGCTGTCATGGATGTTTTGCAGCACAAAATCTGACTGAACGGATAAAGACCGGAAAATAACGGTAATTTTAATTTGTTAGACTATTTTATCTACAGCTCGTTAGAGGTAGAATTCTTTAGTGCAATAAAGATGATATTTATTGAAATTAATTTGAATTAATTAAGGAGAGAGAGAGAGAGAACGAACTAATTCACGCATGCACCTACGTGCGAGCGAGCGGTTGTGAAGCATTGCAAACAAGCTTGTCGGTTTAATTACAAGTTATCACCTCATTGCTGAGAAATATATGTAGCTTTTAGCTGTTGTATTTTCAAAATTCACGGGGCGGGGGTTGAAAACCAGCTCCTGAATGTGCAATTTCTTACCTATAAAAAGTTTCCATCTCAATAAAATGCGAGCGCATACAGCACGCCGGCATTAAAAATCTTTGAGCAAACTTGTCGCCCTCGCATTGGGAGTTCTGTGGAGAATCGGATATGTGTGTTTAGACGTAGGTCGGATGTCCAGATATCAGATGTGTATCCGATTAAAATCCACATTTGGAAGTGGCTCAGATCGGATGCAAAAAAATCGGATCTCGTGCGGGTTTTTGTGTTTACACGTGTGCAACAAATTCCGATCTGTGTCAGATGTGAGCGAAAGATCGGGTTTTTTGTGCCAGTGTAAACGCAGCCTAAGTTCCCTCCTCAGTTCCTTTGGTGGTTGTGTATGCTGCTTGTGTTACCCTGTGTTTTGTAAGAATCTTCATCATTTTGGATTACTATTAAATGTTATTTGGATTACCTTCGTCTTCGTGTACCTTCCTTCAACAAGAGTGTGACAGACAAACTAAGATGACGAATGGAAAGAAACTGCGCACAGAGGTGGATTTATGACATCATCAGTCTACAGTCATTTGGGCTTGACTTTATTTACTTTATTTATTGGGCTGGAGTTTATTTACCATGACAATGCCAAAATACTATACAGTAGTCAACATTTGAAGTGGATCAAAAAAATTCATCAAAGTTGTCCTAACAAAAGAACACATTTTGGTTTTAGGTTTTAGTGCAACTTTGATGAAAGGTTTTGATCCACTTCAAATGTCGACTACTGTATAATTACTAAACCAGAATTATAATGACAGAATGCGTCATCTGGGTTATTGCGTCCAGACATCCTAAAAATAGCTAATTTATGCATTCTTTGTATTGTTTGTGAGAATACCTATTGAATGTTGCATTAAGATCTGACAAAAAGGTATTACAAACAGGTAAAAGGTAAAAACAGTATTACAGTGTTTTGTTTTTGTTTGTTTGTTTTTTAAGTTTTGGTACAATTTTCACAAAAAGTTGTACACTTTAAAACTCCTAGCACTCAGATTATCTATATACTCTCACAACAGATGAAAAATTCACTTTTTTTTTCCCCCAAACATTTGCGATAGTTCAAAACACAAAATCACAAAGTATCCCGTGCACAATACAAAGTAAGTGTCTCATCTACTTTTCACTCACAGTAACTGCTAATTCTATTAAACTTTCATTTGGCTTTCTTCTCGTTCAGTTTAATACATTTGTCTGACTGATCTTAATGGTTAATCAGTGAATCATTTGGTTAGTCTATAAATTTCTATACTTATAGATTCTGTAGAACTGCATGGTTCCTGAAATGGATAACTAAGTATAATAAATTATTGAATTATTGTGTGTGTGTGTGTGTGTGAGAGAGAGAGAGAGAGAGAGAGATTGCAATTTATATATATATATATATATATATATATATTGCAATTTGTGAAGAGAATAGAAATCCAAAGCGTCCAAAGGAGGCAGACGGATAGCATCAAATACAGCATTTTACATTAGGCTACAGTATGCCATGTGGAACTGTAAACAGAGACGTTGCCATGGAAGAGACTAACAAATTACTGTGTCAGTGTGACAGGGCGAAACTACAGACTGTGCCATAGGTACAGCAACACCATTTACTGTATCAGCAGCAAAGTAATCTACACAACACCTCATGTCTGTGTCATTCCTCATCTGACACACTGGAGTAGGCTAGTACTAAACTGAAAGAAGATCATACTGTTGTGTTTCTGTAATTAAACCAAAATTGTTCTCATTACATATTACAAATATCTTGTGTTTTGAAATAATGGTTATTTGGACTGAAAATGTTTCACCCAGACGTTTCATCAGTTATTTGCGATTACACAGTGTTGGGTAAGTTACTCTTAAAGGGGTCATATGATGCGATTTCAATTTTTCCTTTCTCTTTGGAGTGTTACAAGCTCTTGGTGCATAAAGAAGATCTGTAAAGTTGCAAAGACTAAAGTCTCAAATCCAAAGAGATATTCTTTATAAAAGTTAAGAGTCAGCCACGCCTACCTAAAACGGCTCGTTCTAACACACCCCACATGTCTACGTCACGATGTGAGAAGATTTGCATAACGCCGCCCAAACGTTCACGCAAAGAAAGAAGGCGTAACTTATTCTCGCTGTATTTTGTAAAAATCGACGCGTTTCAGAAAGGCGGGGCATAGAGGAGAAACAATAATGTACAGTATGTGGAAAATAATGTGTTTTTTTAACCTTAAACCGCATAAACACATTTCATTACACCAAATACACAAAATAATGTTCTTTTTAGCAACATCATATGACCCCTTTAAAAAAAAATTACTAGCTACTTGAACAGTGTCATTAGATTACTGTAGTAATTACTCATTCATTTCATAAATTATTCTTGAACTGACCAAAGTATTTAAAGGGAGAAGTTTAAAAACATATTTTAACATTAGATGTTAACTTTTAATGTTAAATCCACTATTGTTTTATATATAATTGTTCTATAGTCTATACAGTATTTAATGAAAATGCTAAATTACTACTGTGCATTCAGTGTGTGCACTTAAAAAAAGCACACACACTTGTGTGTGACTTAAAAAAAAATAAATAAAAAAAAATAAAACAAATCCTCAAGGCTTTTATTTTGAACGTGCTGATTTGAGCGTACAGTAATCGTGTCTTCCTTCACGTTGTTTTTAGCACTGCTGCTGAGGGTGATTTAAATGTTATTGTTAGCAGGCTGATTTTCAGCAAACAGACAGATGAAAGTGCATTGAGACACGCTTCAAATACGTGACAAGGAAGCACGTTCACAAGTGAGCAACGGTTTGTACGTGTTTTGTGTCATCACGTGACAGTAATACTGCGTTTATTTGGGTACATTCTGTCTGGAACGGTCTAAAGATTAGCCATGGTTTGCCAACCGCCATTAAATCCTAAAAGAAGAAGAAGAAGAAGAAGAAAGATTAGCCAGATTGCTAACGTTAGTCATTTTGGGTACATTCTGTCTGGAACGGTCTAAAGATTAGCCAGATTGCTAACGTTAGTCATCTCAATGCAATTAAACAAATGGTGTATTATCCTTCCACCACTATACAAACCATGAATAGTGTGATTAGTATTTTTCATTTTAAGAAGAGCACAGCTCATGTCATAACGTGTTTATGTTGTTGTTATCAATGTTTTGGTTGTGGATGGCTGGTGTTGGGAAGATAGAAAGATAGTGACAGTCAGTTTGAATGTTTTACTATGTTGCATACGTGTGAAAGGAAGAGAGGAGACATTTGATCCGACAGCCTATCATTCAGTTTTTTTAATGTACCTTTTGTGATGTGTTGCCGCATGTGCATCTGCATCTGCATTCGATGCTCTGCTGAGAAATAAAGCAGATGTTGTGAGTATTTTGGGGTGACGGCCGCTCTCTGTGTCTCAACCCAGAACAAATCTGAACAGGCGGAACTATGAACGATGCGGATTCATCCTCAAGGAAGCATGCGAGTTCCCGAGAGCTACAGAGTGAGTGCAGGCGCTCTAATCACAGTACATGTGCTTGTGAGCCGATGACGGGATACCTGCGAATTAATTATTAATTATTAATCAGTGTGAATGAATCATCTTTCTTCAGCTCCCAAGAATGAGGATGGTTGTTATCAATGTTTTGGTTGTGGATGGCTGGTGTTGGGGTGATTGAAAGATAGAAAGATAGTGACATTCAGTTTGAATGTTTTACTATGTTGCATACGTGTGAAAGGAAGAGAGGAGACATTTGATCCGACAGCCTATCATTCAGTTTTTTTAATGTACCTTTTGTGATGTGTTGCCGCATGTGCATCTGCATCTGCATTCGATGCTCTGCTGAGAAATAAAGCAGATGTTGTGAGTATTTTGGGGTGACGGCCGCTCTCTGTGTCTCAACCCAGAACAAATCTGAACAGGCGGAACTATGAACGATGCGGATTCATCCTCAAGGAAGCATGCGAGTTCCCGAGAGCTACAGAGTGAGTGCAGGCGCTCTAATCACAGTACATGTGCTTGTGAGCCGATGACGGGATACCTGCGAATTAATTATTAATTATTAATCAGTGTGAATGAATCATCTTTCTTCAGCTCCCAAGAATGAGGATGCCTATGAAATCTCCATTCCTTTTGAAGACAACCACTTTGATGAGCAGGGAGGCTTTTACAACCAGAATGACCAGAACTTTGATGGTCAGTTCAGTTTATTGTCCTACTATTGTTTTAGGGGTAACACTTTATAATAGCTTTTATTTATAAATCATTAACAAACATTATATAATGCTTAACAGATCATTGGTTAATATATATTCACATAGCTAGAAATATGAGATAATATTCTTGTTAATGTTTACTAATGAACTTACTAAATGATTAACATATGATTATTTATAAACGTGGCTGCCGTAAATCATCATATGATGCAGAAGTCAGGCTGGGTATTAATACAGAATTTCTGTTTTCCCTGCAGGTAATGATTCCAGGAGTTTTTCTTGGAGAAGGAGAAGAGAAAATGATCGGGGTAAATCGATACTTCTTTTACTTTCTACGTTAGACTAATCTGTGCTATTTTAATATCATTTATACTGTTATAGTTTTCATTAATATTTTGAATTAGCTTTTATTTTTAGATTTTTAACTTTCATTTTCATTTTAGTTCAACAGGTCCCTCAATGAACTGCAAGGTGGGTCTCAAAGTTTACTTTTTTTAACCTGTATTTGCCGTACTTTGTCATTTTGGTTTAAATTATTTACTGTATGTCTACAATAAGCATATTTACAGTTTATCTACAGTTTTTCATCATTCTTCATAATTTGATCCCATGTATTGTAGATAATGTGTAGTGGTCCACCAATGTGTCTGATGATCATTGATGATGGTGATCAAATCTTTTGATGTAAAGGCTCATGCTTAAATGACTGAAATTCTAAAAATAAAATGAAAATAGTAAATAAACATACATTTTATAAGAAATTCTTACAAAATCTCTTACACAACTTTTTAAAATTTTAATTAAAAATTTTTTTAAAAATGTCATTCATTTTAATTTGAACATTTAAAGATTTAATTTTTTTGGTCACTACATAATTCCCATACTTCCATGTATGTTATTTCATAGTTTCCATGAGTTTAAAGGGGTCATATGATGCGATTTCAAGTTTTCCTTTCTCTTTGGAGTGTTACAAGCTGATTGTGCATAGATAAGATCCCTGAAGTTGCAAAGACTAAAGTCTCAAAACCAAAGAGATATTCTTTATCAAAGTTAAGACTCTGCCACGCCCCCCTAAAACGGCTCATTCTAACACGCC